ATGCCCTTGAGTTAATTTTAATCCACTATTTCATGTGCTGGAACACAGAGAAACCTAATTTCTTGATGAAGTATTAAAGTGTGAAGGGAATCCAGAATTTACTTTTAAATATAAAAAAAAAATAAATTATGAGAAAGAGGTGGAATTAAGTTTTAAACTGTGACATTCACAGTTTGGGTTGATTGCCAAGCCACAGTTTCTATTGCTCTCAGACCAGGATAAACCAACCATTAACTAATAAAAAGAGTCATAGTCCATGAAAGCTATGATGGCATTTAAACAGTTCTTAATCTATTATTAAGAAAGAATAATTTGCAAAATATATTCTCTCCTCTGTTTATATTCATAGAGCCATGCTTAACAGAAATTATATACGGGCTCCCATGGTGTGGAAACCCCATGGAATCCACGAAAATTTACTGAGCTTCTTTGCGTGCTGTGCCAAGATATTCAGCAGGAACTTTGGTCATTGCCAAGAAACACGTGTGCCTCAGATACAGAAGCTCTGCATGTACCGGTATTTCAACATTCCTGAAGAGAAATCTGACCCCTTGATACATACACTGGTTCTCTGGCATGCTTACATTTCTCCCCATCTGTCAGAGTGGCATTGTGCCTTCTCACAAAGGTGGGATGCCAGTTTTGGAGTACAGGTGCCAACCAGATATAAGTTTAGACTAATATCCAGCAAAATGCAGCAAATATCATCTTGCCTGCAATAAGATCATCCTAGTTGTGGTGCAGGCCAAATTAGGTTCTCATGCTTCATTAGGAAATGTGTCATCAACTGACAATTCTAGGTACCAACAACAAATGCCTGTTTTCTGCAAAACATTGCTTAGTCTGAGAAGTTCAAATCACTAAATCCTGAATTTTCAAAACATTACAACCATAATCATGCATTGGTATCTTTTAGAAAGCTGCAAGAAACCATGAGCAGAGGCATGATTGATTTATCCTTCTCAAGCATCCCTTGATAAGTTCCAATGTTCTTAAGAAAGGTAACTAGGTCAACAGATGAGAAGTTTGAAGAAAGGCTTTTGTAATCTTTCATAGGTTGGCAAGCATGATAAAAGGGAGCACTTCTGGTATTCTGACAGTCACTAGGACAAGAGTCCCAAGAAAGCTCTCCTTTTAGTATTTTTCAACTGTTTATAGAAGGCAGCCAAACCTGTACACTAAGAAGTAGGGCTGTGCAAAATTTCGCTGGCTGTTTCGTTTCGACAGTTTCAACTAATTTTGAGCTCAAAACAGCACAATCAAAATGAAATGAAGGGTTTTGAAACAGCCTTGAAACAAAATGAGGGCAGTCAAAACATTTCAAAAGTTTCAAAACATTTTGAATTTGGAAGCAGCCAGTCAGGTGGTGGGAGACAGGGAAGCTCCCCACAGCTCCGCAGCCCGATGTGGCTCAGCCAAGTGTGGAGCGCAGCCCTGGCTCTCCCCATGTCCCATGGCCAAGCTGTGCTCAGTGGGGCGGGTGGAGCCAATGGGAGCGCAGTACCGGCTCTGCCTGCTTCCAGCCAGGCTGCACTCTGGTTGGCTGTGCCAGGCCCATGGAGCTTAGCCTGATGGCAGAAAGTGGGCAAAGCCAGCGCTGTGCTCTGCCTCCCGCCACTGGGCTGAGTTCCACAGGGCTGCGGGAAGCCGATCGCAGCATTGGGGAGTGGAACTCAACCTGGCTGAGTTCCTTTCCCCAGCCCGATCGAAATGTCAAAACAGCATCAAAACAGCGAAAGTGTTTTGACGAAATGAAACAGAACAGTGCTTTCGAAATGAAACAAAACTGAAAACAAAATACTGTTCCGTCGAAATGGATGTCAAAGCAGAATGCTGCTGTTTCGCACAGCCTTACTAAGCAGTATTCTGCTTTGACATCCGTTTCAACGGAACAGTGTTTTGTCCATTTGTCCATATAGAAAATACATGAAATGGACAGTTTGAGAATATAATTACATAAATTAGAAAATGTTGATGCTGGCTGTACAATATCTTTGCCCTTCATGTGTAGGAGTTACACTGTTTTCATATAGTCATAAAACTGAGTAATACTATTTAAGAATCGGGAAATAAATTACATTCTGAACTTGTTTATAATGAAAAACGAATATATTGACAAATGCTTTCTAAATAAAAGAAAATGAATAGTCACTAGACCCATAAACAAAGCAATCCTAAACCAGTATAGGTTTCATTTCCAAATGGTCATAGTCTAAGCTATATATAAATGTAAACCACAGTGAATCTGGCATGGGTAGGCAAGGAAAGCTTTTTGCTTTCAAGAAAAAATCCACTGGCCTCTTACTGCAATTTTTTGTGACTTATATAATTTGTTTATTGCAAAACGTGCTTTATACATCAGCAGTCTTTGTTGAGTTTGTTAAAGAGACCACTTAAGAGAGGGATTCAAATTATGCAGTACCTTTTGACTTTTGTTCTCTGCTTATTACTTAGACAGCTTGTCCATACTTCTTCCAACATGATGCACTCAGATGCAGCCATTTAGCCTCACCAGCTTTGATAAGCCCATACTAGCAAATATTAACAAATATCCCAGTGCACATATTCATTATGCTATGTTTACCTTAAATTTGCTATTGCCAAACTATCTCTGTCCTGACCCTTATCCCCATTCTAAGGATAATGGAATCCTGTTACTCTACCAAGCTCCTTAAAAGGAGGACATCCTAAGAATTCCTCTTCTCAACATCAGGAAGAAAGAGAACAGAGGTTAATTCCTAAAATTAGAAAGCATTTAGTAACTAGAGAACATGGGCTGAATTACTTCTCACAATGGGAAATACACATACAGAATCAGATACTTGGAAAGACCATTAAAACAAGTATGTTAAGGAGCTCAAGAAAAACCTAAACGTGTTTATGGAGAATGTAGGGATTGGTGGGTATGGTAATAAAATAGAGAAAACTTGAAAAAGAAAAGCAGGAGGGATGGGAATACTAGTTTATACATCCCTGTCCTGTTCTCTACATATTTTTTAATATTCTTTAATGATACTGCTCTTCCACATCCAATCTCACATCCAATTGTGCATTTAAAATTCCTTGACTCAGCAAATTAAAAATATCATGATAGTGTCTAGAAATGTCTGCTCTGAAAGCCAGGATATATATATGAACTGCCAAAGCATTGTGCCTGCAGCTGTTTCAGCTGAGATCTCAGTGACAACTGCTACAAGACAACTTGTACAAAGATACTTGCTACTATAGGCAAGGTAGGGTTGGTTTGAAGCAAAGTACTTGGATGGTTAATATAATAATCACTAACTTCAACCTTATATAATAGTTTGAAAAGATACTGCATGAATTTTACAAGCTAAGTTGCAAAAAACAGATCTCAGGTCTGGGAAAGTAATTCATTTTCTATTGTTTTGTAATATTTATTGTATTTACTCATTCAAAGCCCAGTAGGCTGCTGCTGCTACACAGTTAGTATTCAACAATCTAGTGTAGGAGAAGTGAGCAAACTTTACATCCTTTTGTCTTTACAGTAAGTATGTAGAGCAATTAAATGTCCAAACCAGCATTGCCAAAGAAACATCGCCTACTTAACATAACATAACATCCATCCATCTAGCTACAATGAACCAAGTCACTTTATAGCAGGGATAGGCAACCCCCCCCGCACATATGCCAATTAGTGGCACATGGAGACATTTTCATCGGCCAGGAGGTGTGAGAGAAAATTATTTTAAAAAATAAATTTTTTTTTAAGTTGCTGCTCTGGGCTCTCTGGAGCAGCCGCAGGTCCCAGTGCTGTGGCAGGCACCTGGGGCAGGGTGAGGAGCACGCAGGCAGGGACGCAGTCTGCGTTCTGCTGCCCCTGCCCCCGGAGGGGAGCTGCAGCTGGGTGGAGCCAGTACCTGGGCAGGCGCTTTGGAGTGCTGCTGTGCTGAAGGTTCCCGGTCAGCTCGGCCCCAAGCGTTGCCTGCAGCAGCTTTTCCCAGGGGTGAACCCACAGCCAGGTCCCTGCACCAGGGGTGGCTTCACTCCACTCGTGCTATGCCCAGAGCACATGGAAGCCAAGCCCAGAGGCCCCCAAGCCTGGCATCCTACCCTGGCCAGTTGCCGTCCCCTCATGAGTAGGGCAGCTGTAGCCCATCCCCATGGAGCTGCACGGGCTGAGCTGGGCCCCACCTCAGGTGCTGCTGGGCGCCCCTGCCCAGCTGCCATGGCCTGAGTCGCAAAGCCCTGGGGCAGCCCCCACTTCCCACACAGCCCCGACTCCTCCAGCTGCCACCTTTGCAGGGGCCTGGCTGGGCTGGCCTGCCCATGGCACCTCCTTCTCTCCCCCCAGACCCTGCCCCAAATGCCCAGCCCCAGCGCTTGGCATCCCAGTGCTGCCCCCACCTGAGTGGGGCAGGGCATCTGTCTACCCAAGCCGTGGCCAGTCCCTCCATCCCTCCCAGCCCTGGGCCCAGGCTACCCCCAGTCTGGGACCATTGAGGAGGTCTGGGCACCTTGGCCCTTGCAGCTGCTGTTGGGGTGCCTCCCTCTTCCAGACACTGCCCTGAACTAGTGGGCCTGAGATACAGCTGGTAACAGTGGGAGACTTGGGCAGCAAGGGACACACACTTTCTCTTTTTCCTTTTTTCTCTTCTCTCTCTCTTTCTGCTGTTCTTCTTTTTCTTCTCTTCCTTCTCATTTTCTCTCTTCTCTTGTTTCCCCATTTCTCCTCTTTTTCTTTCTCTCTTCTCTCCTTTTTCTATTTCATCTTTTTCTCTTTCTCTGTCCATTTTTCTCTGTCTCCTCTTTTCTTTCTCTAGCTGGCCTTTTCTTCTTTTTCTGTCTTCTCTCTCTTTTCTCAACACATCATGCTTAACAAAAAACCACACAAAAACAAAGGTAGTATATGAAGTTTTATTTATGGTCACCAGGTTTAGAATTTTTAGAAAACCTGGTATTTACTGTAAAAAAAGGCAACATTTATGATTATTAACTATATTAATATGCAGTGCATCCTGTCATGTACCCCCTGCCCCAGATCTGTTTTTCTAGTGTGTTGGCACTCCAGCACGTTACAAGGTAGACATTGCAGTTTTTTTGGCACTCCAACCAAAAATGTTGCCTACCCCTGCTTGATAGGCTTTGTAGGAGCTAAATGGATAAACAATGACAACACTTGCACAATATACACTGTTAGGATGCAGATCAGTAGGAATGTTCTTGTAATGGCTGAAAGACTTGGTAGTACTGTGGAGAAAAAGACAGCATCATAATTCATCTCTGCAAATCTAGAACACTGTAAAAAGAGAAATCTCAATCAGTCTTTTATGTTTCACTTGGATAATAAGTATGTATGAAAAATCTCTTACTTTCAGAAAATACAGCAGCCAGGGGCCAATATCTTCTCACAGATACATGCACAGTTCTCACTCAAGACAGTTTGGAAGCTGTATAGATCTTGAACACTTCAGGTGGCAGAATGATTAAACTGTGGTCGTAATTATACATTGTCAGAAATATTTTCTTAACAAAACAAACTGAATATTCTCTAGACCAGTAAGCAGAACAATCCTAACTTAATATGATGTGTTTAAGATAAACATAGTCTAGACTCTAATCAATGTATACATGTAAACCACAAGCAAACTCTTAAAAACACGAGAGAACTTGGCTAGCCTTCTCCTCCCCTAGTAGCAGTTGCCAGCAAAAGTACACAAAAATGGGGGAAGTTAGAAACATATTTAACAGTTCTGGTATCTTACATTGTTGGACCACTTTCTTTCTTGTGTTCTTCAATCATGCTTCAAGATTTATGAATATCCAGAAGAGCTGGGTTTGGGTATTGCCATTTCCCTTGCTACTAGCCCTCTAAACGGAACCATCTGATAAATAGTGGTAGTGAAGCAAAAGATGCATTTCATTACAGAGATTTTCATCTGTAGAAAAGAAATGGGGCTCGCACTGTTCAATTTCTTTATCAGCCATTTGGATGACAGGGTGAAGAGCAACCTGTTTAAATTCACAGATGATACCAAAATTTGGGGTGAGGTGAGCACACTAGTAGGGAGGGAAAGACTGCAGCAAGACCTGGACAGGTTACAGGGGTGGGCTAGCAAAAACAGGATGCACTTCAATACTGACAAGTGCAGGGTGCTGCATTTGGGCAGTAGTAACCAGCAGCACACTTATAAGATGGGAAACTCCCTTCTTGAGAGCATGGAGGCAGAAAGAGATCTTGGAGTCATTACTGACTCCAAGATGAACATGGGCCAACAATGCAAGGTCACGGTTAGCAGGGCTAACTGGACCTTGTCGTGCATCCACAGGTGCATCACTAGCAGGGACAAGGAGGGATCCTCCCCCTCTGTGCGACACTGGTCAGGCCACAGCTGGAGTACTGTGTCCAGTTCTGTGTGCCCCGCTTCAGGAGGGATGCGGACAACATTGAGAGGGTCCAGAGGACAGCCACCCACATGATCTGGGGACAACAGGGCAGACCCTACAATGAGGGACTGCGGGACCTGAACCTGTTCAGCCTTCACAAGAAAAGGCTGAGGGGGGACCTGGTGACTGTCTATAAACTCACTAGGGGGGACCAGAAGGGCTTGGGAGAGACCTTGTTTCCCCTAGCACCCCTGAGCATAACAAGGAATAATAGCCACAAGTTGTTGGAGAGTAGGTTTAGATTAGACATCTGTCCGGACCAAATTTTAGATGCATGCTGGCAACACAAGAGTTAAGTTTGATCATGCGCAGACAAGGCCTATGGAAAATTCCACTAGGGTGCCCAGCATGTGCCCCCTATGAGACCCTTGGCTTGTCAATCCAAGCTGACCTAGTTTTGTAACAAGGCACATGCTCAGTTCTGCTCAGCAGATGAAGTAATCTGACCAGACGCATGCTCAGTCTACAGACTGCATAACGTAATCAGACTAGAAATTTCTTTAGAGAAGACAACCTGATTGGCTACCTGGTTGTCATAAAGACTTGGGGGCCCCTCCTTTTGAGGGAGACGAAGGAGACAAAAGGGGGGAGTTAGCGAAAGAGAGAATAAGCAAGAGTTTTGGGGGGTTCTGACAGCGGTGCTCACAGGGAAGATTCATCCTGAGAGCAGAGGCTGGCCTGACAGGGACTGCTCCTCAGGAAGGCTTTAAGCCCACTGGTCTCCTGTCCGAACCCTGAGAGCAGAGGCTGCTATTCGCAGGGACTGCTCCTCAGGAGGGAGACCACGCTCGACCTGCAAACAGATACTGCCTTAGCAGAAACTGTCCCGCAGGAAGAGAACGAACCGATCCTGAGAGCAGAGGCTGCGGCTGCAGGGACTGCTCCTCAGGAGGGCTTTGGGCCCACTGGTCTCCTCACAGCTATGATTTTGCGATTTATTTGATTCGTCTTGATCTGATTATTCCGTATTGATCTCTGGCTAATGAACTAATTTCCGGCTTCGACCTCGACCACGATCCTGCATCTTGACCACTGGCTACGACATCGTAACTTTGACCTCCACATCGACTTCGGCATCTCATCGACCACCCGTTTCGTCCATTTGGACTGGCGTCACGACATTCTTCACGTTACAGTTCGTTGTTCGTCTCCCGATTTATGAGATGTTGACCAGCCCTGGGACTGTCGAGTTGGGCAGCTGCCCCTAGCTCCGGCTAGAAAGCAAGGGCTCACTCAAGAACCCCGTGGGCCAACAGACCCCTTTGTTGTTCATAATCTAACTGTAACTGAAGCTCTGCCTACGCTCTAAAAGCATAAGTAAATAAATCAATTTTATTTGAAACCGCACGTGTCCCGTACCGCTCAGACTCCTTGCCGCTAATCCCGCCTGTTTCGTATCGAAACCCTCGGCCCACCGTGACCTTGGGGCCACTGTTCCCCGACAACATCCATAAGAACTACTTCACAGTTAGGGTGGCTAGGATCTGGAACCAACTTCCAAGGGAAATGGTGCTGGCTCCTACCCTGGGGGTCTTTAAGAGGAGGTTTGATGCCTACCTAGCTGGGATTATTTAAGCCCAGTTTTTCTCCTGCCCAGGCAGGGGGTCGTACTTGAAGCTCTACAAGGTCCCTTCTGACCCTACTTCTATGATTCTATGAAAACCATAGCACAAATTAAGGTTCTCTGTTTTGCTTTCTGGAAATAATAAAATAAAAGCTTCTCCATAACCTTACAATATATGTTATTAATAAAATGAGTTAAAACTAAATGTTTATAAATACTATAATACTTAAAACTTGAATGCTACAACTTTTTACAAGTCAGCTAGACATTCTTGACACAAAGGTATTTATAGGCAACATGCAGTGTTTCCTGTCCAAGTGCATAGGTTGGCTAGAACCTGATCTTGTAAGCACTTCAAGTACATGCTTAACATTATCCACTAGTAATTTTAATTAAGCCATGCAAACTTCTAAGATGTATAAAGCCAATAGGCACTTCCAATATTTTTAGGATCAGAACATTAGTGAAATATTTTGAAAGTGACCACATCAGTTATATAATGCCACCACTATGTAGCAAAAGCCAGTGTGAAGTAAATGGTCATCTTGTGATCCTTACACAAGCAAAATCCCATTAGCCCACCTGCTGCTAGAGATAGTCTGGTCTCTTCCTCCACAATTAACGGAGGTGCCCAAAGACCAAATTCTGCTGGGATGTCATACCTGCATTATTGACTATATAATAGGGATTTAATTTCCCTGTGACCAAGTACTATTTTTGTGGGACTTGGGAAGGAAACAGATGATTTCAGCAATTCATGATCACTATCTCATCCCATAATGAAGTCCCCTGGTATACATAAAACTGCTATGTAATAACCTAAAAATACTGAGATATAACAACTTTCTGAACACTACTTGGTGATGTAATCTTATCACATATTGGTTATAACAATTTCTTCTATGAATATTTTAATTAAGCCTAATAGATGACTGCAAAAGAAAAGAAAAACAACAGGAAAGCAATGCAACAGCTATAGCTAAGTAAACCTCCCAACGTGCTCTGGAAGGAATTACAGGACAATTGCTCTAGCCCTAAGCAACATAACTGTTTGCCAGATACAGAGTCTAGAGATTGAAAGGACATTAGAACACTTACAAAACCCTCACAGGATTTTGAGGGTGGTAATTTGTCAGTGATTGTCCGGGGGGGGGGGTAGACAGAAGTGATCAGAATAAGCTGGGTCTTCTTCAAATCCAGGGAATGGTAGTCTTTCAGGAGAGATGGGCACGTGTTGTATATGTTTTGGTGTGCTCAAAGGAGCAGGAGGAGTTAAAGATGTAGTCAACCGAAGAACTGACACATTTGGTAGCTGCGTGTTGGGATAAAGACAGCGGTGATTTTCTGATCAATGCCAACAGCAAAGAAAGCAAGACTTAGAGAAGGAAAAAAAGCCAAAAGAGTAAAAAAAGTCACCTGGTAGAAATAAGCAGAGATGCACCTAAATAATCAAGAGCTGACTTTGGCCACATATAGACATTCAGTTTCTTCTGGGACAGTTACTGCTCTCCCATAAAAAAATATGAAACTACAGATGTTCAGGATTTTTCTCCCAGACCAATGATGGCCTCTGGGAGAAAAATACACCAGGAACAACCAAGGTTAAATCACTCCTGTGAGAGTTTCTCCTGGAAGAGCAAAGGTTTGTATGTTTCCTTTGGAGGGAAGCTACAGCACAGTTCTACAACATCCTAAGATGTTTTCCTGCCCTTCTCCCTCCTCCCCCAGACATAGTGTGTCACTTGGGCTGGACTCTACTCCTCCAGCCAAGCAGGGACCAGAACATGCCTCCTTCACAATTCCCACATTGTGCTGCCGGAAGACACAGGCTGACCCTGAGCAGTCAGGGTCAACCAATCAGGGCTATCCTGTACACTGCTGCCACTTGTCTCCAGGCAGACTGAGGCAGCCTGCAGGGCATGCCGAGATGAGTGCACAGGGGCCCCCAGTGGCACAGCATCAGCAGTGCACACCGTCTGCTCTTCAGGGACTCAGCATTCACATGCCTGTTCAGGGATCTCTTTTCTACAAGGAAAACAAAACTGGGAAAATTCTTCCAGATCATTTAGACGTGTACCCAGCCAAATGCACAGCTGCTGCTCTCCTCTGAGGAACAGGAAAAAAAAAAAAATGATCAGAAGGGGACTTGAGTATCCACATTATCTGCAGATATAATAAAGATAGAGAGAGAGATAGGCCAGAACAAGCCAGCCAAACTAGTAAATCTAAGGGACAACCTCCTAGAGCAGAACATGAAAGAGTATGAAAGAAGCAGCAACTGGGTTCCTATCAAATAACTCAGCAGCAGGTGATCTTGAGCAGGCTAAAGTTTGTGGGGGGAACATCAGCTTGAAAAAGAAAGCTGCATGTAGAGGCCAAACAACTTGCAGACAGAGTGAGAAAAATGAAAACAGTGAGAAGGAATAGCAGGATGAACCAGAATGGAGAGTAGAAAGAAAGAAGCAGTGAAGAGACTGGGAAAAAAGACCAGCTACCATGAATGTCAAATGGACAAAATGGGCCAGCAACATTCTGATTCAGTGGACAGAGAGACTCTATGACAACCAAGACACCTAGGTCCATGGGCAGCATAAGTTCTAAGGGGGTACCTTGCTATAGGTATAGGAATAACACAAATGAGTTTTTCACATTTTTGAGAGGATTTAAATTGGGTAGCCACTGAGCACTGAATTCAGTATCTTTCTCCCTGTCTAGGTGGATGCTTTCATCGAAGGACCTAGAAAAGAAGCTGGAAATTATGAGCCATGTAAACAAGCTCAGTTGCAAAAGTTTGAATTGATACCTGGTGTACACAGGAAAAAGATTTCTGGGCTTGGGGGTATCAGATAAAAAGGGATATGAACTATGCTGAAGGGCACAGGGATACACAGGAAAACTGCGGAAGTCTTGCTAGTACTACAGCGTGCC